ATTAATTACTCTAGGTGTAATACACAATTCAGGCTGTTCTTGTATCTAATACTAGCTACACTGGGCAACTTGAGCTGTTTGCCATTGATCTAAATATTTTCTGTTACTGTTTCCTGCAATAGAGTGTGTAAACAGTAAACAACACGTATTCTGTTTCTATAGGAATGACTATGAGTCTATGGAAATTTTTCAAGTCAGTTCACCTGATTCTTCCTTAAAAAAAAATGGACAATGAAACAAAGCAAAACAAAAACCCTGGGCCTGAAATTGCTTTCTAACCACTGCCTGCACCTTTTGGGAGAGCAGCAGTGTCACCCAGACTGGCTGCTTTGATTTTCTTGGTGATCTTGGCAGAGTCTGTGTTTCCCTCCCAGTGAAGAGAATTACACTTTTTACAGCTTAATCTTTGTCAAGGTTATTTTTGTTAGATGGGAGTGCTCTTCAGAAGGTTGTTGCTTTTATTAGTGTTCGGAATAGTACAGTGACTGTATCTGAAGAATTTACAGAGAGCAGCATTTTTCAGGGTGAGACCTATCAGCCTATGCACGTAGAGTCTCTACTTACACGTATGCTTGCTGGCTTTTAACTCTCTGACTGTGCTGAACAGCCTTCAAATACCTCTTAATGTTGAGTAGTAACCCAGCATCGTACTGTGCTGGAGCACTGCAGTATTCTGAATCTGACTTGCATGATGACACCGTGTCTCATTTCAAACTGTTAGCCCTCTCTGCTCAAGGGGTGTCAGTCATCTTCATGGGAAGTAATACCGGGGAGTAGGAACAGCATTTGAAAAATCGTCTATAGCTCTTGAATAGCCAGGCCCCGGGGTTTCTCGTCCTGCCTCAGAGCCTGGCGGAATTGCTCGTTTCTCTGGCCCATTGCCCCTGTAACCTTTGAGCGTGGGACTGAAGTGTCCTTGACTGCCTTTCTCTGTCCGAAGCTGGTGATTACTTCATTTGTCTTTAGACCTGCTGCATGGTGATACATCAAGGAACACCAAGGTTGTGGGATGCTTGCTTCCTGAATTCTTACGTGTGTTACCTCCAAATCAAAGTGAACTAACTGAGACAGGCTTATTTTAATGAGTGGGAATTTGACTGGAAAATAATTTACTTTCTGGTATTGTAAGAGCTGAAGAAAGTAATGTCAGGCTCACACACTTTTTCTCTTCAGAACAGAAATGTTGTGACTCGTTAGTTTTATAAATAGAAATGCTAAAGTAAAATCTTGCCAGTGCAGATTTTGAACATGTACAACTTAATTTTACCTGCTGTTCTTTTGATGCTGTGATTGTCACAGGGAAAACGCATTTAAATGCTGCAACAATTGATTTGATTTCCAAGAAGTAGCTTGAGCTTTTTATTTCTATGTTGATGTGTTGGCTGTTGGAAACTAACATGATCACACTCTGGTGTGTCTGTTCTTAGCAGGATGTTACAATTTGAAGCTCCATATTACTGTTTGAAGGCTTGAAATGTTTGCTTTTCTGGAATTTGGTTCTCACAGTGTTTCTGTGTATTGGGGTTTGACAAGAGGCACAGCAGGAGAAAGGAGACAAGGAGGTACAGAACTAAAACTTGGGGGCTTCTATGATAAATTTACTCTTTGGCCTTTGGCAGTGAGTTGCTGCTTCAGTTTCCCTGTGTCTAAGGAGACGCTAATGATGTCTACTTCAAAGATGCTTTGTGAAGATTAATTAGTGCTTGCAAAGGCCTTTGAAGATGAAAAAGCAAGAGCTGAAATGTGAAAAGTTTCCATGCCCCAGGTAAACGTTCTGTGTACTGTCCTGAGTTCGGCTTTTTCAGGATGTATAGAACACTTCCAGATATTTTGAAGGACTTATCTCAGTTGGGCCATGGTGGTGAAAGCTTTTAGGAGGCACGGAGTGGTATAGCGACTTGGAGAAGTTAGTTACTTGCATGTTCCCCCAAGCAGAGCAAGGAAGATTATATCCCATGCCTTCAGCATTATGTACCAGTTAGAAGAATATATATGGCAGGTGTATCCTGAAAATGGTGCCACTGCAGCATTTTCTGTTTGTTTTTCCCCAGGGCAAGTTTCTGTCCTTTCCAGTGTTTGATAAACAGTCCACTGATGAGCCCTGTATGAAATGATTTATGGTAATTGCAGCACTGTGTTATTGAGCTTACAGGTGGCGTGAAACAGATTCAGGGAGCAGTGCTCTCTATACTTTTCAAGGAAGTTGAATGCTTCTGATATTTTAATAAAGTCTTAATTTCTTATAAAACTTGTCAGTTTGGTATGTGATGTGCAAGTAGGTGTGTGTATGTGTGGGGGGAAGGTGTTCGGGTGCTCACATCTTCTCCAGGGTGATGTCTCATCTTCTCCTTCTTCCGTTTTACCAATGGCATAGGAATTGCGTACTGTAGAAGTACTGCATTAATTTGAGATGCTGTAATGAATTGTTAGTGAATTATGGGATAACTTGGTCTGGTTTTATTCACTCAAAGGGAGTTTGAGGAAAACTTTAGAGCACTGTCAGTATTTCAGTGGTTTAGGTTGTGGTGCTGCTGCAAAATGGATGGGTTGGCAGCCTGGGTAGAGGCAGGATTTGGGCTTCACTCTGCATCTGTATGTTTGGTTGTGAAGCACGCTAGGTTCGGGGGTAGGCTTTTTGCTGCTCAGTTTGAGCCGTGTTAGACACAACAGTAGGTAAGAACTTGAGGTTAGTTCTGTGGTAAGAACAAGCTGTGAAGTTTTAAGTGTTATGCATAAAAGGATGCTAAATTTTTCTGTTTCAATTCAAGATTCCCTGGGTATGGAGCAGACTTCATAGAAAAAGATAAAAAGCTCCACTGAAAGACGACAGCATACAAATAGTGGGGGGTGAGGAGGTCCAAATCAAGCCAGCCAAAGGGCTTCTCTTAGGAGCATGAAGATTTAAATGGCTCCTTTCCTGCAGTTAACGAGAAGTGTGTCAAGAGTTTAGGCTGAATATTTAGCTGCTTTGATAGTAGAAGATCTGCCAGTGCTGTGTTTGGAGCTGAAGTGGTCTGCTGAGGCAGCCTGGTAAGAGTGCTGTAAGCACGACGCCTGAAGATTTTCCTTTCTTCTGGAAATGTCACCTTGCTAACCTAAGACAGAACAGCCTGCAGAATCCACATCATTAAAAACCCTCCCTGTCAGCAGATGACTAGATAAAATTACAGCTTTGGAGAAAATTTTGTGTTCTTGCTTACAAGCAAGTTGTGACGTCTTTGTGAGGCCAAGCCGTGCGTGGGCTTCTTGCAGCTCGGAGGTGTGGCTTCCTAGCCAGGCTTCCAGGCTCATCACGGCTCAGTGAGTCAATTGCTTTAAGCACCTTTCCTGATTTAGTGCTAGGTCGTACTGCATCTGGCACTGCTGTAGCTGTACTTACCTACAAAAATAGAAGGGCATAATTTGCTAGAAACATTGGATGTGGGAGTGAAGGGAGCAAAACGTCCTGGGAATTGCGAGAATTTTTTGAGAAGTCAGGTCTTGGAAGACTAGAAATTGGTTGTGACAAATAGTGGGGATGATGCAACGTGTTTCCCATTTCATGACCTCTTTATGTCCAAGGAAAATGGGATCTTCAGTGTGGCATTTCGGAGGGTTTCTCTGTCCCGTTTTACTTCTGCATTGATGTGATGCTTCAAAACTGAAGAAGAGTTCAGAGACTCTTAACGGGGAAAGGCAGGTGCTGCCTCCTGGCTCGGAGTGTTTTAAAATCGTGGTAGAAATAGCTCACAGATACAGCTAATTCTGTTACGGAATGTAGGTGAAAATAAAATGTCATTCTTGATCAAGACATCTATTATTCTGTGTATTGTTCTTGACCAGACAGAACTCTTCAAAAGTACTTTTTTCACTGAATGCTCAAGGAGTTGAAGAAATAGATCTGGAACAAGAAGACGACTTTCTAAATCTGTGACTTGTAACAGGTTGACGTAATAGGAAAAAAATTCGTTATGTATTTGTTTTGTTTGTTTTAAGATCCCTTCAGTTCAGTGTTGGGAATGATAATGTAGGATAGCAGGAATAAGATGGTGCTGTGGTCAGGGTTTAGGGAGGAAGCAGGATTATTCAGTAACGTAACCATTTGAAGGGATAGTTAACTGATGGTGCTAAGGTATAAATAAATGAGGATTTTTTTTGTTAAATAATAGGAGAGCTTCTGAACTAAGAAGGTAGTTGAAATAATGTTTGCAGCAACATGTACAACTAGACTTCCCAAGAGCAAATATGCCCTATATGGGTTTTGGCTTAGAGAAGCTGTATTAGGTTGTTGAGTCCCTGAACTTTTGTTTGTTTCGAGGAGTGTATGACTGTGCATGTACTTAACTGGCTTCACATATGGTGAACTGCATAAATGCATGGAATTCTGATAATTTATGGCAATAAATTGCAGATATTTCCATAGCACGTGATAAGTAGCAGCTTGCATTTATCCTGCTTACTTTTCTTTTTTGGATGCCTGCCTGCCTTTCATTTGGGACTGTTTCCTGCTCTCTTAGGATGGCTGTGCTGAATTGCAGAAGTAATGATCAGAAAGGTAGTGGAGGAGAACATGGAATGGCTTATTTAGAATAGTTGATGAGACCAAATCATTGTGTATTCTGTTGGTACAGCTTTTGCTGGTTTACGGGGAAGAAATTGTCTGTTTCTGGGAAGGGAGCAGCAGGGATTCAGTGATAACTAATGATTTTCCAGTGTGTTGTGCATTCTCTGTGTCCTTGACCATGGAAGATCTCTGCTGGGCGTTCAACAGATCTGCAGTGACTTGATTTGTTACCTGGCAAACACATGATCTGGGGTGGGTACAGTGTGAATTCCCACCCAGAGTTTTCTCAAAATAAACTGTTTTATTTAGGGAGTTCCTTCACCATGCTTTCCTTGTGCCTTGTTCTCAAACCCTCATCCCTTCTGTTGGCTTACCCTTTTTGCTAAACATCTAAATAGTTTATTGGTTTAGTTATTTCATAACCTTTTTCCAGTTACTGCTTCATGTGTTTCTATACCGTCTTCTCCCTCTGAACAAAGATTTTCTACTGAAGTGCACTTTGATCTGAATCCTCTTGGTAAGTGCTTCCTCTGTCTGGATGGAGCTTTCTTCATCACACTCCAGCAGCTTCATGCACCCAGTAGTAGTTTCTATAATGAGCTTGTAGAGCTTGCCTTGGGCAACTGCACCAGACCAGTTACCGCAGTTAAATTTTTCAGTCTTCATTGTTGTATGAAAATGACAGTATTGTTAAAGAGAAGGTGATGTACGTTAGGTTTTGAAACATGGTGAAAGGAAGACTTAAGTTTTAGCAATTGGAGATTCTATGTAAACAGTGGGGTCAAAAGGAATCTCCTCTTTTCCTTTCTCATTTATGATGGAATGAATGACCTAGCTTTGGAGTAGTGGTAAGCCTGTAGAAACCTTTGGTTTGCTTTCCGTGAAAGTGATAGAAGTTGGTTTCCCTCATTGTCTAGTTATGGTGGAGTGAGAACAAAATCTTGTGAGCAGGTTAGGGAGTGCTGTGCTTGTGTTTAGCATGTGCTGTTTTTCTTCTGCTTACACTGACACATGTGGAAAGATAACGATACCAGTCTCTCTTGCTTTTCAGTTGTGAATGTTACCTTGCGTCAGCCCTGTCCATGCAGCCGTACACCAAAGCAGCTGCCAGATGCTTTATGTTGTGTTTTTACCCCCTGTGGTGGCGTAGTGGCTATAAAGTGGGTATGTTCCTGAAGAGCAAAACTTGGGTCTCTTAAGCAGTCAGTTAAAAGATTTGGGTTTTTTGTTTGGTGGGGTTTGTTCAGTTGGTTTTGCTTCAGAGTTGGTTTGAACCTGGGCTGGCAACAAATGCAGGTGGCTGGAGGGGTGGGAGGTGAAGGGAACTCCCTGAGCCGCAAAAGCTTCTTACTCCCTACTCCCACTGGGAAGCAATTATTTTGTTTAAGATTTGAATCTGGTATCCTTGCTTAGGGTGAAATGCAAATGACTGGGTGCATGTTAGAAGTGTCCTGTAACAGGATATATGGGAGCCGTATGTTTCCTCTTCCTACTTCTGGCTCTTAGTTGCATTTAGTAGGTGACTGCATTGGTATTGTTCTGGTGTCTGTGTGAACGCACATGGTCTGTTCAACTGTATCCATCCCACAATCCCTGTTAGTCCAGCCAAGTGCTTCTTTACAAGGGTTAGAACACAGGATTGCTCTGCAGGCCTGCGGGAGAGCAAGGATGCTGCTGCTCCTTTGCAGCAAGGGGGAGCCAGAGCAGGACTGGGACCTTAGAAATCTCTAACCAGCTGGCCTTGTGGGATCTGTTTAATACCCAAAGATGCACCTGCAGAGACGTTGTTACCTACCCAAAAGAATTTGGGGAACTCATTATTTATTTCCTGTTTCACTATGTTTTCTTCTTCCATTGCTCTTGTTCAGGTCTTAATATGTTAGGCAGTTTTGTCATATGCTTGGCAAATGACGCGTTCACCATCACCTGTCATCATGTGTTTTGGAAAGAACTGTTTTTGTTGTGTTCTTTGGTGCGCATTGTGTCTCTGCTAGAGCTGTTGGTGTTCAGGATTGTGGAAAAGAGTGATTATCTTTGTTAGTTTTCTGTAGATGGTTGTAGTGTGGCGTGGTGGGGAAAATGAGGTGGAGAATGAAGTTTCTTAGAGTGCTTCTGTGTGACAGTGTAGCTATGCTAGCATTGCCCCAAAGATAAGCTGTAACCCTTGCTTGTTCAAACATGGAGTATAAATATTTAGTGAGCTGGGGAGAACTCTTATGCCCCACTAACAAAAACTTCTGTTCAGTCCTGTAGAGAGATGATGAAAAATTGGCATAGTCTGTTATATAAAGAAATGAGAACTGGATGATACTTGTAGTGAAATTTCTGTGGTCTGGGCTTCACATCTTTCCGCTTTATTTCATGGGAATTCAGAGCTCAATTTTTTGCCTTTTCTGACAGAAATCTTTTCTCAGTTCATACACTAAAACACTCACAAATATTGGCCCATTTGACACTTTTCTGCAAATATGTGGTTTTACAAATCATATTTCTGACATATTAGGGGTTGACGTGCCATCCAGGCTCACTGCCATCATTCAATGTCTAAACTTTTTTCTATGTCAGTCCATGTTTTTCAAACAAAATTGTAATTAAGAAAATGACTTATATGAAAGTTGTAAAAATTGTCATCCTTGTTTCTTGCCTGACTGGTGGACTGAAAGGTCTGCATGCTGTGACACCAGGGGAAAATGACATAGAAAGTTTGTGGAAAATGTGGAATTGTATCAGTCTTCAGCTAAAGTGTTCGTGTGTTTTTGAGCAACTGTATTTAAAAACTGAGTTCCTAAACAATACTGGATACTGGAAAAGTTACTTTACGTTGGTAGCTAAGGTAATGTTCTGAAGCAGCTAGGCCTGCAGAAAGTATGCTTTCCTAAGTAACAGCGGCTGTTTTTGAGGAATTAATAGTAACTACTTAACACATCATACCTGATTTGAAAAGACAGGGGTCTAAACAAGCTGTCCCTACCTTCTTACTGCACTTGTGCAGGTGTGATGACATTTCATTTCTCATGAAGGTTAGAAAAAGAACATGGCTTTGTCTGTGAAAGAAGAGGTATCTGTTATTACATGACAAGCTTCATGACTGTTCAAAGTAAAGAAGGTTTCTACTAGGCTGGGCTGCTAGCCTTGATATGTGGCTGTCCACATTCTGGGGAAGGAAAGACTTTTGGTCTTGTCTTGCGCGTGATCCGATTTGCTGAGAGAGGGAAGGGAGCCTGAGCGTTCCCAGTTGTCTGACTGGCTTGACAGTAGGGTGAGCAGATGAGAAGGCAGGCCAGTGGAGAATCTTTTAATTGTTTAAAACAACGAGTCAAAGCACTTGTTACTTTTGCATCCCAGTTTTTGTGAAATAGCCTTTTTTGACATGAAAATATGGGAGTGGGGACGGTATTTAACATTAATCCAGTGCTTATGTGTGACTTGACCACTCCTTTCTTTCTTCCCTTCCCTTTCCACAAGTTCTCTAAATATTTTCTCTCCTTGTTGCAGTGGTAGTCGCTCTTCCAAAACCTTCAAACCAAAGAAGAATATTCCAGAGGGGTCTCACCAGTATGAGCTGCTAAAACATGCTGAAGCCACGCTTGGAAGCGGTAATCTCCGGATGGCCGTTATGCTTCCAGAGGGTGAAGACTTAAATGAGTGGGTTGCAGTTAACAGTAAGTCAGCTAACGTTTTTTTTAATAAAGGGGGCGTTCAGTGTGGGCTGACACTTGTGGGAGGACAACTGTGTACTCCTTTCTGGTGGGTACGTTCTTCTGTCCTGCATGCACCACTCTGCTGTGGCTGGGAGAGGTGAATGTTGCCTCATTTAGAGCTGACAGATGCAGAGCGACTCACTGAGACAAAAACTCCTTAATCTCTTTGTGCCAAAAAATATGTTCCTGTTAACAAAGTAATTCTTAGTGGTTAAAGTCTGAGCACTTGATTACAAACAAGTGCTGAAGTAAAAATGTCACTGTTGTTTTTAGAAAGTAGCCTGTCAGTGCCATCTTAATATGTTTAATCTAGCTCTTTTTCAACTAGAGTTGTAACCCAGTGGTATAGTCGAGCCTCTACATGCTAAGTGTAAAACCTTAATTTAGTTAAGCGTGAGAGCCGGGCCTAAGAAATGCTAAAGACTGTGGTGACATATATGTCCTGGCTTTTGTTTTGCCTGTAACAAACCCAGAGATCAATCTTTGCAGTTTTCCAAAAGTTAGTTCATTCCTTTTGTTTCGACCAAGTTGTGTGCCTTTGCCCTGGCAAGTCTCTGGTGTCGTTATTTTAACATTCTCTAAAGCTGTTTGTCCTAGCTCTCTCCTTTCATGCTAGGTCAGGCCAAACAATGATGCCCAAATTAGTGTTCTCTGATTGCTTGACCGTGTTTCCTCCTCCTCCTTCCTCTCCCTGCTGCATGAGTTTGCTGCCTGCCTTCTGCTCTTAAAGAATGGATTAACCCAAGTCCTATCATGCTCCATAGCCCGTGCAGAGTTTTGGCTGCCACAGACTCTGTGCCCCGTCTGGGTATTTCCTCATCTCTTGTATCTTTGGCTTGGCACGCTTCCAGTGATTGTACGGCAGTGGTTGTGCACTGCAGTGCAGTGTAAATTATGCTGGAGATAAATGTCTTCTAATTGTTTATGTGATTCTGACTATTTCTTTTTGCTCTTTGACATGTTTGGGAAGTGAAACTGTCGTACTGACTTCAACCTTCTGGTTCTTTATTAGCCACACAGTGCTCTGGTATGTGACTTGCCACTGCTTCCAGTGTTGAAATTGCTGACACCATTCTTTATAAAAGTTTATTCATGCTGTGTTGCAAAACTGTCTAGAAAAAAAGCCAGCCCATTTTTATGAGTAAGCATTACTAAAGATGCTTCATATATTGCTGCATCCTTCCCTTTTGGTGGTTCCTCCACTTCATATCTCTTCTTTCCTGTGTGGCAGCAATGTTTTTCCCTTCCTGGATGACTTAACTGCTAAATTAGCTGGGTAGCAAAAAGGCAGCTAAACACTTGACAAAAGAGTGGGAGCTGCCTTTTGGTTACAGCTGCATTCTGTAATGAAATGGTCCTGTAATGAAAGGGGGGTTTTAAATGTTTAATTTTTTTGTCTAGAACTGATTAACTGATCACGTGCTCCCTTCATTTACAGCACAGAATCATAGAATAGTTTGGATTGGAAGGGACCTTTAAAGGTCGTCTAGTCCCACCCCCCTGCAATGAGCAGGGACATCTGCAACTACATCGGCATCCCTCTATCACAACTACACTACCAGTTAATGGTAGCTGTGAGCCCCTTCTGTCGATTGAGATACCTGATAAGGAAATAAAGTGTGTGACAATGTCATTTGTTTTATCCTTCGCAATAATGAGAGCACAGGAACAAATGTGCTCTGTGCTTCTACTTCTTGCTCAACTCTTAGCCTTACTGATGTCTTATGGTAATGACTTGACGTACATGTAGATTTTTAAAATATGTTTTCAAAATAAAAAACAGTGAGAAGTGTATAGTTGGTTTGTTTTGAATTTCATTTGAAATTCCCTTGATTTGAAAATACTAAAAAATAATGTCAGAATTACATCTTGCCCACATCTTTGTAATAGAACACCAGACAGTGTGCACTTCTTCAAGTAGAAGAGCACTTGGAAAAAATAATTCGAGCCCTCAAAACTTAAGAACAGTGAGTAAAAAGAAGAATCAAAAATATGCTGAGCCACTGTACAGCTTTACACATGTTGGAAAGAAGGTTCTTGCATTTTTCTTGTTCGTCACACTACTGGCTTTGGTGGATGGGTGTGCGTCTCCTGGCCTTGTGAGACTTGCAAGTGTGGGATTCACAATCATCAGTCATCTTGTCAAGGTCTGTGTGGGTTTTATGAATGTGCTTGCCTTGAAGCAAACATTAGGCTGTGGTTTCTACTGGGAGCAGGGAATGGAAACTTAATTAACAGTTCTTGTGTACACTTAAGAAACAAGGGCTGTATATAATCACTTCTTGCTGTCTTCAGTGTTAACTGCCTCCTCCCCCTGTCCAGACAAGCTTTAGGAGTCCTCCTGGTCCTCTGTAACTTTTTTTTATCAACCTTTCCCAATGCTGTTTGGCTGTTTTCTTTTGGGAAAGGGGGGGGAGGGACACAACATGACGGGGGACGGTGACACACGACGACGGGGATACATGACTTTGTTGCTGGAGATGAGCTGTGGTACGTGCGTGCCATACCAGTTTTTTATTTGCTTCCCTTTTTTGATACCTGGGAAGTTGCATGACACAGTTGTAGCTCGTATCCTGCATCTGCTGGACAGTTGCTGTAACTTGCTGCCGTGATGTTCATATAATCTTTTGTTTATTCTCTGGAAAAATCAGTGAGGGGAGCTGCAGTATTTAACCTTCCCTTTCCTTCAGCCAGCAGTTGCTTTCACAGTACCTGGTATCTGCACCTGGGGAGGAACAACCTCATGCACCAGTACAGGCTTGGGGTGGACCTGCTGGAGAGCAGCTCTGCAGAGAGGGACCTGGGCGTCCTGGTGGACGACAGGTTGACCATGAACCAGCAGAGTGCCCTGGCTGCCAAGAAGGCCAATGGGATCCTGGGGTGCATCAAGAAGAGTGTGGCCAGCAGGACGAGGGAGGTTCTCCTTCCCCTCTACACTGCCCTAGTGAGGCCTCATCTAGAGTACTCTGTCCAGTTCTGGGCTCCCCAGTTCGAGAAAGATGAAGAGCTACTGGAGAGAGTCCAGCGGAGGGCTACGAGGATGATGAGGGGACTGGAACATCTCCCCTACGAGGAGAGGTTGAGGGAGCTGGGCTTGTTCAGCCTGAAGAAGAGAAGGCTGCGAGGGGACCTTATAAATGCTTATAAATATCTGAAGGGTGGGTGTCAGGAGGATGGGGCCAAGCTCTTTTCAGTGGTGCCCAGTGACAGGACAAGGGGCAATGGGCACAAACTGACCCTGCTTCGGCAGGAGGGTTGGACTAGATGACCCACAGAGGTCCCTTCCAACCCCTACTATTCTGTGATTCTGTGATCTGCTAGTGCTTACATTTAGGATGCCAGTCTCTGTTTCATTACAGCAGAACTGTGTGTCTCTAGTAGAGTTAAGCAAGGAACACAACTTTGGGTAGGCTACCAGGTGACATGCTGGCTTCTCTTTGGCATGGCACTGGACTGAGAGGAGTGTATTGTTGGTGTTAATTACCCAGTGTCCTGCAGACTGTATTGTATACTGATTGTATGAGACTATTCAGTGTTGCAAGTGGTAACTCCTTTTTTAAACTCATTTTTTAAGCTAAGACAAACATGTCTGTCTAACTACTGCAGAGACTGGTCACAGGAAAACCTTTCCCTGTTGCTTCAATGAAGAGCTTTGTCACCTAAACACTAAATTGAATAACATGTGGCTATTTGGTGACATGATTAGAGTGTCAATACTGCTGATAAGGGATTTTGAGTATTCCTGAAATCTGTCTCAGTAAAGAGACAGCTTGTCACTGGCATATTGAATTGCAGGCTAACACAGGTAGCACTGAAGTAAAGTAAGTTGAAAGTGATGCTGAGCCTAGACAGACTGTGCACTGGTTTCTCGTCATGCGGACTAGCTCTGCAGGCAAGATTCATAGATGAAGTTTCTAGCTGTAAAGGCTCCTGTTGTCAGCAGTGGCAGGTCGGATGCTCTTAGCAGAGAAATTATGTAGCCTGGACTGAGCACTGGGGCATAAAGTCTTACTTACTATGGTTCCTTTCAGAGTAAGGGTGTGTTGGTGGAGTAGTTAAATTTGCAAAGCACTGTGCTTAAATAGAAGGAGTTGAACTTCACCATACTTGATTTAGGTTTTTATATGGTTGCTGAATTTCATCTATGCGTAAAAATGGATGAGTAAGGACACCAAATTTAGTCCCCCAAGTCTCAAGTTCCTGTGTGCTTGTATTACTGGGGTTCATCCAGAAGCAGAGTTAACAGTAACTGTTGCAAGATCCAGGGCGACAGGAATATATAGTAAAATGTTTTTCTGGAACCATGTCATGCACTTAGTTGTAAGAATTTAACCCAGCCTACTTAAAATTTTATTATCTAGTGCTTAATATTGGTCACCTTTCGATTTTTACTCATGACATCCATTGTCCGAAAGACATTTTGAAAAGATAAACTCATATATTGATACACTGGTATTGTGCTGTGCTCCCCAAGAGGTGCAAGGGGGGCCATTCATTGAGGGGAGATAAAGTGGATTTTATAAACTGATTACAGTGATCACAGTTCCTAAGAACCATAACATAACTAAAAGAGGGCAGATTTAGATTAGATATAAGGAAGAAATTCTTCACTATGAGGGCGGTGAGGCACTGGCACAGGTTGCCCAGAGAAGCTGTGGATGCCTCCTCCCTGGCAGTGTTCAGGCCCAGGCTGGACGGGACTTTGAGCAGCCTGGTGTAGTGGAAGGTGTCCCGGCCCATGGCAGAGGGTTGGAAGTAGATGGACTTAAAAGGTGCCTTCTAACCCAAACCCTTCTGTCATTCTATGAAATGTTCTTTCAAAAGATAGTGTTTTGGAATACAAAGCTTGAGGGACGTCAGCGTCAGCTAATGGGTAATGGTTTTATCTTACTGGAAAGTTTACACTGAAAATCTTTGTTTTATTCCAGACTTGCCAGTAGACTTTGGGATTCTAATAAAATGCACCAAACTTTCAGAAGTGGAGATAACTCGGTTTTCTCTTCCCCTTCTTTCAAATGAAGATTTTGCTGCAATAAACAATGAAATAGTTATTGTTAGAGGCCATTCTAGAAAGTTGGTGACTGCATTCTGCATCTTCTTTATAATACATCTTACAAAGTAATAACTACGAGATTTTATTTTTTTTTTGTGAAAAATACTCCAGAACCCTCTTCAGCAGTGTGCATTTACAGTCAAGGCTGTAGGAAGGTTGTGTTGCCATTACACTGCAGAGTGTTAATTGATGGTTTAAATGCTTTACAGCTGTTGACTTCTTCAACCAGATTAATATGCTTTATGGAACCATTACGGACTTCTGCACAGAGGAGAGCTGCCCCGTGATGTCTGCTGGCCCAAAGTAAGATCATTTTCTACACATTGTTCAGAGTGTGCAATTTTTGAGATGGTTTTGCGTTTGAAAACCTGAGACTAGCTCAGTTGAGTGCCAAAGATAAGGTAACATCTGTGAGTGGAAAGGTCTTTTGTCACCTGAGGAGGGAAAAAAATTTGAACCTTTTTTAAGGGAGTGGGGAATGGGAAAGTGTTTTTTTGATGTCTGTGTTTGTTGGTTTGTTTTTTTTTTTTCTTTAGCCTGGGAAGTAAACTGATTATCAAAAAGATGTTTCCCTTTTTTTTGCGAAATGTTAACGAGGGCTTCTTAAGATTTGAAGCTTTTTACAGACGAGTGTTTAATTAGGGCTTACTTAAATGTTTCTTTTAGGTGTTTGAGTAGGTATTGTAGAAATAAACTGGGCTACAGTTTTTATTAGCCTGGATTAGAATCCTCTAACCTGTTCTGAAGTTGAGTTTCACTTCTTTGATTCTTGCTTTGCTTTTGTACAGAACACCTCTCCTGTGAGGAAAGGCTGAGGGAATTGGGGCTGTTCAGCCTGGAGAAGGCTCTGGGGAGACGTTAGAGCAGCCTTCCAGTACCTGAAGGGGCCTACAAGAAAGCAGTAGAGGGACTTTTTACCAGGGCATGTAGTGATAGGACAAGGGGGAAT